GGGGGGGGGGGGGGAGGGTGGACATTCAGGAGTTTTGGCAACTCAACAGAGAATCTGGAAGCTACTCTATTGGCCTGGTATGCTCAAAGATATCAAAGAAAAAGTAGTGGAGTGTGATGTTTGCCAAAGAAACAAACATGAAAATGTGGCTTATCCAGGTCTCCTACAACCTTTGCCTTTTCCAGAGAAGCCTTGTGAGTTGTGAGCACATAGCTATGGATTTCATAGAGGGCCTACCAAAATCACAAGGGAAGAATATCATCTTGGTGGTAATTGATCGTTTCACTAAGTATGCTCATTTCTTCTCTTTAACTCACCCATTTTCAGCGGAACAGATTGCCCAGCTATCTATAGATAATATCTGTAAATTGCATGAAGTACCTAGTTTTATTGTGTCAGATCGAGATCCAATTTTTACTAGCTCTTTCTGGAAAGAGCTTTTCAAGTTTCTTAAGGTGCAATTAAGGATGAGTTCAGCCTATCATCCTCCATGAGAGGTTGAATCACTGCCTGTAAACCTATTTAAGATGTATGAGTGGCCAAAAGCTATCTGACTGGATTAAATTCTATGGCGGAATTCTAGTATAATTCTAACTTCCATTTTGCAATTCAAATGACACCTTTTATGGCTCTCTATGGATACGACCCTCCACAACCTACATTTGAGCTTATTGCCCAGACCAAGCTAAATTTAGTAGATGAATTTCTAAAGGAAAAACAGGTAATTACAAAGTTATTACAGGACAATTTGAAGAAAGCTCAGAATAGGATGAAACAATTTGCAGATAAGAAAAGGTTAGACCGCCAGTTTGAAGTCGATGATTGGGTATACTTAAAAATCCAGCTTTATTGGCAATCTATAGTGGCGGTCCGCAAAAATCTTAAGCTAGCAGCAAGGTTTTTTGGTCTTACCAAATTGTGAAGAAAATTGGTTCAGTGGCTTATGAACTGAAGCTACCCGTTAGATAGAAAATTCACCCAGTTTTCCATGTCTCTCTCACTTCAAAATGGTGGGAGAGCAAGCAGTGGCCATCGACCCTATTGCACTGACGACGACCAGATCAAGGTGGAGCCAGAGGCGATTCTGGATCGACGTTTGGTCAAACGCAAGAATGCTGGGGTGGTTCAGGTCCTAGTTCAATGGACTAATCTTCCGCCGGAAGAGGCGACCAGGGAAGACTTCATCCAATCACAGTTTCCGAGCTTCGAACTGAGATAAAGCTTGGATCTTTGAGGAGTATGGAATGTTGCAGCTAGGATTTTCCTTTTGTTAGTTTTGACTATGGTTGACTATTTGAGTATCTGGCTAAGTTAATTGGAGTTAGTAGATTTTTTACCTTTTTCCCCTAAGTTCATATGTGAACACTTTAGTCTTTCAATTATTTGCGGAGTAGTTCTTTAGTTTTTAGGGAAGGGGGGACACCTGTCTCACTTAGTAATTGCCAGCTGGGTTGTTGTTGCTTTTTAAATATCTCTGTATTGGACAGATGGATTATGTTGAATGAAGAATTTCCATTTGTCCTATTTCTTTCTAGTCTTTTTTAGCCTAAGCATTTTACTGTTGCATTGCTCATTGACGAGCTTTGTAACAATCTTTATCAAAAGACTTGTTTCTGGCGATATATATGTCTTTCTCTCCATGATGTTGACTCAGTTTTGATCCAATAATTTTTTGGAGAGTGATTGTCTGAAAACTCAGTTTGATCGGATTTAGCTTGAGTGTACACCTTCTCTCTCTTGATTTTTCATGTGGGCCATGATAAGTTGGCATTTTATCTCTAATTCCTGATGTTCAGGTGTACTTGAAGTTCCTCTAGTCTGTTCTTAAGCCATTCACTAAAGGAGGATGTTGTTTATATAGTTCACACAATAGTAATGGGGTGTGTTGAATCACAATAAAAAATGAGTTGCTCCTGGTTTGTTTTATTAACTTAGCCTACAAAATATGTTCTGGGTTTCTTTTTTACTTAACACACACACACACATATATGTATATATATAAAACTAAACTGATGCTTTATTCAGATGTTTTCTTCTCCAAATGGAAACCAAAGTCAACAAAACATGGAAGGAAAAAAACATTGCCTACTTATTTCTGCCNAAAACATGGAAGGGAAAAAACATTGCCTACTTATTTCTGCCAGCAATCCTTATCCGTTGCCTACACCAGTTTATCGACCACAGATGCAGAAACTGGAGCAGAACGAAAATACTGAAACACAAACAGATAGTCGACTATCTGATGCTGAGACAGTTGCGAAGGCATTCCCTCAGGTACTGATCTAAAGCCTTTTGCATTTTCATAATCTTGGTCTTCCCCTCACATATTTCCTCCTTCACTGACAAGTTACTCTTTCCCTTGCAGTGCTCTGTTTCCCTGTCAGTTATATGCCCAAAACAGCTTTCAAAACTAAGAGCAGTATATAATGCGGTAATTGTGGCCAACTTCATTGAATTCTTTCCGTTTCTTTATTAGGGTCAAAGCCTGTCTTTATTGTGTTGAAACTTGACTTCTTTTTTTTTTTTTTTTTTTTTTTTTTTTTTTTTTTTTGTTTCTGTGACCTACAATAATTATTGTCTTCAACTTTACCTAGTTGCGGATTAACTTCCTGCGTGCTCTTTCCGACCTCTCTAGAAATTATATTAGTACTCTGTTGAACTGGGAAATTGCTAACTTTGGTACTCATTTACCATAATACTGTGTTCAGGATTGGGGCAAGTAACATGATTTTGAATGATTTCTGTACCACATATAATATATTCTTGGAATGTCGTTAACGGAACAATCTTTGGTGTGCTTCTCACTCTTTCGATACTTATGTTGTGGCAAGCATTTCACTAGTTAAAAACTATGAATTTATGACGGAACTCTCTAATTTGATTCAGCCTTCATGATTATCACTTGGTCTTAAATAGAGAAAAGTGATGCATGTGGACTTTATATTTCCATTTGTTTCAAACTCTATGCTTGTTCATTAGAAGTAAGAATATCCATGAGCTCCACAATAACATCCTCCTATTAACTTATCCGTTTAAGGTTAGTTAAAGGAAGACGCAGGTCATGGGATGTTGTTCCTCTAGCACTCATGTGGGTTCTTTGGAGTGAGAGGAATAGGAGAGCTTTTGATGGAGTAGAGAACGATCTTGTACACTTGAGGAGTAGCCTCTTTTCCCTTTTTTATTTTTGGTGCACCTTTGAGGTTCCTGTTTGTATAGAAGATTGGGTGTCATTCGTAGAAAACCATGTTCTCTTGTAAGGTTTTCTACTTTTGGGTATACTCCTTGTATACGGGCATCTTTTTGCCCCTTTTTAATGAAATTTATTACCTTATCAAAATAAAAAACTTATCCCTTTAAGGTTGACTGTTGCAAAAATACTTCTTCATTTTCGGAGTCCAAATTTGAGAATATGCAGCATACTATAGCTATGGAGAAACATTTAGCTTTAGTAAGTGCTTAAAAATGATCAGCCTTTTAATCGTGGATAATGTATTTATCGTCTTAAATTATCTTTGAATCACCCATGATATTATGTTCTTTCATTCTATTAATTCAATGGTTCTCGACAGTAGGTTCTGTCTTCCATGAAAGGGAGATGGACATTTAATCCTCCTCACTCAGCACACACTCCTATCCTGCTAGTCTTAGTGCCGGAGCTTTGAAAAATGGAATGCCCCATTTTCCAACTTCTCATTTAGTTTTTTACTAAGTGTGAATTTGTATGGATACAGGGAAAACGCAATCCACGAGCAGCTGACCCGCCAATTGATACAGCTAAGAATCCAAACTTTCTTGTTTTGATTTCTGAAAATTTCATCGAGGCTCGTGCTGCTTTTAGTCGCCCTGGAATGACCAATTTGACGTCAAACCAAAGCCCTGTCAAAATGGATGTGTCTTCTATTCCACCAGTTTCTGTGCCACCATCAATTTCTAATTCAGCAGGTTTGTGTAATTTTTTTGAACTTATTTTCCGGCTTTATCATCCTATAGGAACGTTTGCTCAGGCTAATGTTACCTTATTCATAGATTTGCATGCTTCTTTTACTCTTCCATGTTGGACATGGTATTTTGGTGAATAGAAATTGAGGAATGCACACCAAGAGGATATGTTCGAATGCGCAAAAGAGGAAAATGAACAATTAACAGAAGTATCCCTCACTTTCTTTGGAAGTTGGCACACTTAATTTGGTAGTTGGCAGGGTCAAGCTGTTGAATAGACTAACCACTTAACACCATAGAAAAACAAGTAAAACCACTGTATAAACTTTTTTATGAAGAAACCCACTGTGTAAACTTTATTCAACCTGATATATCTTGGGAACAGTTCACATTGCTGTGCATTTTCTTTGTGTTAACTTGCTTATGCTTGATTAGTTCAATTTTTAGAGTTCAAGCTTGGCCTGTTGGATAGACAACTGATTGCTAAACTATTCAACTCTCAGTTCAGCTGTAGTATCTTCTGTCTATTGCTAAAATGTCAATTTATACTCTCCTAGTCGTTCCTCGATTAGGTTGAGGTGTACATGTGGGCATGTGGTGATGATACTTTTGGCTTCTTTACATTTATCTCTTTTTATCTTTTCTGAGGAATGAGGATTAGTAAGTTACATCATCTTGAATACTGTTTAAAATTACAGTTTTAGCTAATAACTTAATATATGTCCAAAAAATCGATCTCCTCTGGTACGACATGCATACTAGATCAATTTTTAAAGTGATACTCGTGTATTCTAATATAGAGCATCCTGGGATATATGGATTACTCCCCAATGGTTTTGTTGAAGGATACTGATTTTCTTTTCTATTTACCTCTCAGCAAATGGATCTGTTATGAGCCGACAACCAATTTCTGCTGGAAATATTCCTCCTGCAACTGTAAAAATTGTAAGACTCAACAACTTGTACACCTGCTTGGTACCCAGACATTACTGTAGATGTTATGATCTTATAACATATGTTTTCAGGAGCCCACCACCGTGACCTCCATGAATGGGCCTGCATTTTCACATATTCCATCTGTTCGTCCTGCTCTTCAACCTGTTCCAAGCTTGCAAACTTCTTCTCCTCTTTCTGTTTCTCAGGAGATGGCATCACATAATGAGAATGTTCAGGAGATGAAACCCGTAGTCAGTGGCATGACACAGTCCTTACGTCCAGTTGCTGCAGCCGCAGCAAATGTCAGAATCCTGAACGATGTTGCTCAAGCACGCCAAGCAATAGCTGGGGCAACTTCTATAGGCCTGCAATCTATGGGTGGCACCCCTATGCTTTCAAGTATGATATCTAGTGGAATGGCATCTTCCGTCCCTTCTGCCCAAACTGTATTTTCATCTGGGCAATCAGGTGTCACAACAGTAAGTGGGTCAGTTCCATTAGCAGGCAGTGGGCAGAATACGCAAAATTCAGCTCCTGCTTCATTCACTTCGAGTGCTCCCAGTATGTCTGGGAATCCAAACATTAGCATTTCACAGACTTTGAGTGGCGTTAGTATGGCTGGTCAAACAGTTCCTGGAATGTGCCAAGGTAATCTACCAGGCACACAAATGATGCCAAGTGGGACAGGGATGAACCAGAATATGCTGACTGGGTTGGGTGCAACTGGTATGCCTTCCGGAACCGGCACAATGATGCCTACTCCAGGGATCTCTCAACAAGGACAGCCAGGCATGCAACCTGTTGGTAATAGCACAGGAGCTAACATGCCTCTATCTCAGCAGCAAACACCTGCTGCATTGCCATCAGCTCAATCAAAATATGTAAAGGTTTGGGAGGTAAGACCGATTAATCTGTAGAAATGCTGAAGTTGGACAGTGACTCCGTTCTTATAAAAACTAACTCATCCTTTTAATTTTTCCTCGTCTTAACAACAGATAAAATAGGAATCATATTTAGATCTTCTTTAAGTATGTCAGGTTAAATTTTCCTGATGGGTTCTGCTGGCAGTTTTTGTTTTGCTTTAAATGAGTTAGTCTCTAATTTAGAAATCCTTTGGCAGTACAATCTCTGCTGAGATTTCTATATCCGACTCTTCAAAAAATGGAATTTTATGCTTTTTTCCAACCATTAAAAGGCCAATATAAGCTTGATTTAACGTATGTGTTTTTATGACAAAGAACTCTATCGATTTCTGTTCTGTTATGTGGTGTAACAATATAGTGATTTTAGTATAACAATTCAGGGCCACAATGCCAAAGATTTTGTATTGTGGTGGTAGCAGTTTAGGTGCGATATTTGGTGATTATGATTTAATGGGAGCTTGTAAGGGCTCTCCCTTGGTCTTTGGTGGGTTGCTGTGGGCTGCAACCTTTTCCGGGGGAAACCAGCTATTACGTATCACAACCAATCTTCATCCTTTTCATATGCTGTTGGATTTACAACTGTAAATTCTAAATTTATGTTTTTGGGGTGTTGTACCGAAAATATTTTGCACCATTTCCCAGGATACCAGCCATGAAGTATCACAACCGATTTCATCCTTTCATATGCTGTTGGATTTGCAACTGTAAATGTATTGATGTTTTTGGGGTGTTTGGTACCCAATTGCCTATATTACTTGATTATTATACTGCAGCTCTATTCAAGAGGGGTATTTGAGTAGTTTCCTTGTAATTATGTAAATTGGCAAAGACAACTTTAAACTTTATTTAGAAATGAATGTATGCTCTACTAAAGTAGATTTTGTGGAAAATCAGCTTTTCAATCTTGGTTGGCTCTTCACCCCTCCACTACCGAGTGTTTAGTCTTTGGATTTCTTATCCGTGACTCGTTTCAGATGTTAATCTTAGAATCATGTACCTAATATGCCTGATGTAAATACAACAGAGAAAATCAAGGATGGCATATTGAAGGTAGGATGGAGTTTGATTTTGCGGATAGGGTGGGGTGGTTGGTAGTATGTGGGTTGTTGAAAATAGTATAATTCATGCTTTTCATAAAAAAATTATATATTTCATGCTGGTGCTTTCCAGTTGCATTTTTGGGAAACTGAAACAAAAGCTTTGACATGCAAAAGTTAGTCTGATTATGCTTCCAAATTGATGGTAAATGTTGAAGAATGCTTACACATAAACTTGCATATGAGTAATCTTTTAGAATAGTTGACAAGATGACGTCCAAAGTGAAGTGCTAAACATGCCATCTTGAGATGCTAAGTGTGAGACCAAAATTGTAAGCTAAAAAACCATTTGGGTTTGGCATGTCATCAAACACTTCTACCAGGAGCATTTGCTTTCGTTGATTCAGTGATATGCATATTGTTGAAAGGGGCTGTTAGAGTTAGTTATGTATAAAGTGTGTTGCCTTTATAAGTCACATTGATAGTGAAGGTTTTAGGTATATGTACACACCTTATATAAATAGGGCTCCTTGTATTATAGTAAATTAACAAATATCAATAATATAATTTTCCCGTGCTATTCTCACATGGTATTAGAGCTACCATGAGAGATTCATCGTTGTGCAAAAATACCAGCGACTCCGGGAAGAAGAAATCAGTTAACCGAATAATTTTTCGGTGACGTAGGTCTGTCTGCATGGAAGTCCTTTTTTGTCATTGTTGTGCAAAAACCAATACCACCACGAGGTAGATCAGCTTCCTGCGACCAACAACAACAAAAAACCCAGTATAATCCCACATAGTGGGGTCTGGGGAGGGTAGTGTGTAGAGAGGCTGTTTATCAGCTTCCTGCGACCAAACCCTAAAAGTTCCTTCGGCAGAACTCCTCTCATGTGCTGGCAACATGAACTTTTCCAGCGAGATTCCAACTCACGCGCCGGCACGTGAGGCATCTAACAACTTTTTTTATTTTCCGGCGACTTGTTGCAGATTTTGGCGACTGTTTCAAGTTTTCGGTGGCTACAATGTCCTTTTTCTGCTGCTTCTTGACTTTCTACGAGTTACTGCTGCTTCTTGATTATTTGGTTCAACAATGTCTTTGGGAGTTATGTTTTTGGTTCTAAAAGCGCGTGTTCTGGAAATTCAAGCGCGATGATTGCTTCGGAACCTTTAATGGGAGTTGTGGTGCAAGGGTCAAGGTGTTCAAAATCACCTAACCAAATAGGCGGGTGACAGAGATGAAAAGGCCAAAGCACTTTGGGAGAAAATTGATGCTCAATTGTATAGTCTCCTATGGCGATCTATTGATCCCAAGATAATGCCTTTCTTTCGTCCATTCCAGACTTGTTATTCAGTTTGGGAGAAGGCTCATACTTTACACACTAATGACATATCCCGTTTTTATGAGGTAATATCTCGGATGACAAACTTAAAGAAACAATAATTGGATATGTCTACTTATTTGGGACAGGTGCAGACAGTCATGGAGGAATTTGAGAAGTTGATGCCAGTTGCTGCTAGTGTTGAAAAATAACAGGAGCCGACAAAAGACTGTTTCTAGTTCTTACACTTGATGGACTTCCTAATGACCTCGATTCGGCAAGATCACCTTCTGATAAACGTTCCACATCTGGATATTGTGATGTTATAGGAGGTAATTTGGTCTCTTGGAAAAGTAAGAAATAAAATGTAGTTGCTCTATCTAGCGCAAAAGCAGAATATCGAGCCATGGTTATGGCAACATGTGAGCTAGTTTGGATCAAGCAGTTGCTCAAAAAATTAAAATTTGGAGAAGTCAATCAGATGGAACTTGTGTGTGATAATCAAGCTGCCCTTCATATTGCATAAAATCCAGTGTTTCATGAGAGGATTAAACACATTGAGATTGACTGTCACTTCATCGGAGAGAAAGATACACTCAGGAGATATTGTTACAAAGTTTGTGAAGTCAAATGATCAACTTGCAGATATTTTCACCAAGTCCTTCACTGGTTCTCGTATTAGTTATATATGTAACAAGCCCGATGCATATAATTTAGATGCTACCAGCTTGAGGGGGAGTATTAGAGTTAATTCATGTACAAAGCTTGTTGTGTATAAGTTTCCCACATTGATAGTGAATGTTTTTGATATATGTACATACCCTATAAAAATAGGGCTCCTTGTATTATACTCCCTCCGTTTCAATTTATGTGAACCTATTTCCTTTTTAGTCCGTGCCAAAAAGAATGACCTCTTTCCCTATTTGGAAACAATTTACCTTTATGTAATGATTTATAACCACACAAAATATATGTGCCTCATTTACACCACAAATTCAAAAGTCTTCTCTCTTTTCTTAAACTCCGTGCCCAGTCAAGCGAGTTCACATAAATTGAAACGGAGGGAGTAGTAAATTAACTAATATCAATAATATAATTTTTCCGTGCTATTCTCATAGGGGCAACAATTTAGAATTCAGCAACGTCCATTACTTTACATGGTAGAGCTAGGTCTATCCCTGTTTGAGCCCCTGTGTTATATTGTTCACGCTCCAGTTGGCAGGTCTGGGTTTGGGGAGGTGGGGAGGGAGTGAGGTTGTAGAGTGGGTTAGAGTCTCAAAAATTGGTTGGGGAATGGGATGGTTGTCTCATTATATGAACTTGGGCAATTCTCCTCTCTTGATATAACTTTTAAGGTTGAGTTAGCCCCAAGGTTCATTTCTTCACGAGCTCTTTCACTTTTCTTCTTTCTGGTTCAGTTATCTCGATTAGTTAGAAGACAGCTGAGGCCTATAATGCTTCTTAAATCGTTTTGGAAAAGGAAACTTGCACTATTTTCCAAAGCAATTTGCAGTTTAATTTGCATGAACGATAACAAAATATTGCTGAATTACTAACTATGATGCTCTGATATTTGGGGGTGGGGAGGGAACTGATTTGTGATGCAGAACCCAATACTATAATTCTTTTGAGACAAAAAATAGATTGAGACCTTGTGCAGAACCAGCAAAATCATACTTTGAGGTTGTAAGAACACAATTTGAAACTTAATAGTGTTTACCGAGGATATTGTGTACACTTGAATATTGATGTTATGCAAGTTATATATGATGTTGAGAAATTAGGTTGGTATATGCTGATATTACTGCCCGTTCTTTTCTAGAACTCTGATTATTTTGGTATAACTTTTTAGTCATCCCCATAATTTTCATGTTTTCCCATATATTGTTTTTTCTTGGAAACTCCTACAGGCGACTATATTTTCTGTATGATCTTAATGATGTACTCCTGATATTTTATTATGAAAATGTTGCAGGGGAACTTATCTGGTCAGAGACAGGGCCAACCTGTATTTATTACCAGATTAGAGGTATGGTTTTAACTAGTCTAATCAGATTTTCTAGTTACTACAAGTTGTTTAAGTGATAGTGTTTTAAAGAAGGCACTCCGCTTTCGTGTTGACGGATGAAATATTGTGTAATTATGTCTTCATATTGTAAAATGGTTTGCTGAATCCCTACTGATTGTGTAAAATCTTCTGATCTAATTTCTTGTGGCAGGGGTATAGGAGTGCCTCAGCTTCTGAATCGTAAGTTTTCATTTTCATGAGTGCTTGGTTTAGTGATTTCCCAATGAATAACTCTTACAAAATTCAAGTTGTTGCAATGGCGTTATCCTGTATGTTGGCTTGTGAGGAGAATATACTTTGTCCTCCATAAGTTGTAATGCGAGTATGTTATGTCACGACCCAAATCCCATCTAGTCGTGATGGCACCTAACCTAACCCGCTAGGTACGCTAACCAATATATAACATCACCCACCTGAAGATCAATAAAATAAATAAAGAAATAAGAATGCGAAATTCAATACAAACTACCTCAAGATATGGTAGTACAAGTCATGAGCTACTTCAATGTTGGTATGAAAAAATATTTTATCTATTTGAATATATATAAACAGAAATACGAGTCCTAAACTACCATGATCAACTAGTAGCTTGCAACTGGAACGCTGGCGCATCTTCAATGCTAGTCTTCGGCTTCCACAAGGCTCAGCTCTACACGTGAGATGCAGGAGTCTAGTATGAGCACAATCTACCCCATGTACTCGGTAAATATCAAGACTAACCTCATCGAAGTAGTGGCGAGGTAATCTAGATAACTCACTTATATAACCTGTGCAGCTCATAAGCATATACGATAACAGAGAGTAGCCAAGTAATAACAGATATCAATAATAAGGTGCACAATCAAATATAAAGGTAATAAGCAATGCTTTTTCAAATAATCAAATCAAAATCATATACAAACGCACCAAATCCGCATATAAAGGAAATATACACCAAGTATAATTAACTCGAACACTTCTACGTGAATGTTGAGTGTCTATGCAAGATAAATATCTAATTTTAAATCAATTCCCAAATAGCATTTATACGAATGCTCCTATATGAGTCTAAAATATCTATGTGTGATGAAGACTCAACCTTTACATCAATCCGACACTCTCCAAGTGTCCAACAATTCACAATCAAGTTCCATGCATGTGTAAAATGCATGCATGTGCATATGCAGATGATATGCATGAATATTTCTACACAAGCCTAGAATGTCAATATATGAGAAAGACTCAGACTTCACAACAACCGGCACTCCCAGTGCCCGACATTCCGGTGTCAAACTGTGCACACATGGCCCAAGATAAAATGGGTGATCACGTGACTCCGAAGGGATGAATCCAAATCCATGCGCCAGAGCATTATAGCTCTCTAATCAAATCATCAATATCTCAGAAATCAGTCATTAATTCACACGAAATGAACCATCGTGCCATCATCATAAAAACCGCACGGCATAAACCATTGTGCGATAACAATATTAACCGCACGACATAAACCATCGTGCCAATCTCAGTCCATATCAGAGAACCATATGCAAGAATGTATGCATATGAACAAGAGATAAGCATGTATGATGCATATGGACAGAAAAATAAACATGTAGGGATGCATGCATGTGTACAACTGTGACTACGACTGCAACATATAATCCAATATACAAAATAGCCCATCATGTCCAAAAGGGAATCAAAGGCTAGACATGATCTCTAGCATGAATATAGTTGCTCAATTAGTCATACAACAATTAAAGCATATCACAAGAAAAACATGTGTCCAAACAAGGGATAACAACAACAACAACAACAACAACAACCCAGTAGAATCCCACTAATGGGGTCTGGGGGAGGGTAGTGTGTACGCAGACCTTACCCCTACCCCAAAGGAGTAGAGAGGCTGTTTCCGAAAGACCCTCGGCTCAAGAAAACAAAAAGACAAAACGACAAGAGGAGACAACATTAGTATCACCACAACAATCATAGAAAAAATAGGAACACCATAAAATGCAGAAGAAAGATGCAAAGCAAAAACGATAGCTAGTAAATAGGACATGCACTGAAAAGCGAAGTAGTAAAACACATTGTCACTAGCTACCCTAGACAAAAACCCTACGTGGTCAGTCCCACAATGGTACGAAGTAAGTCAAGACTCAACTACATCCTAACCTACAACTCTAATACTCGACCTCCACATCTTCC